TTTGTCCCCTGCCATCAAGCTTTTGCTTGCCCTCCATTGTCCCCCACTTTCTATCCTGCTGACTCTTGTATCTATCTCCCTCCTACTCTGTCCCCTCCTTCCTGTTCAGTGCCCTCTTGCCTGGGCTCCAGTGGCCTTTCCCTGGGCCTCCTCTATTCATAGAATAAAAAGGGTCATAGAAAGAAGGGTACCCATCTGGTCTGATGCCCTCATTTGACAGAGGAGGAAACTGAGGCACAGAAAGGGGAAATAGCTGACCTAAGGCCAGCGTGGCAGACAGGACTAGCACCCAGGACTCCTGCCTGCCCAGCATACACCTGCCTCTCTCCTTCTCCCTTGGGCTCTGCCTGCCCACCCCCTGCCCAGTGCCCAGAGGGGTCTCTTCCTCAGGTCCCTCTCACCCACACTCACCCCCCCGGCTCCCGCTGCTTTCCCTTTTCCTGCCTGCCCTCCACGCCCGGCCCGTGGCCAGGCCCTGAATGACCCTGCTCTCTCTTCCAACAGTGCCCGAGGCTCCAGTCATTGACACCCAGCGTACCTTTGCCTACGACCAGATCTTCCTGTGCTGGAGGCTTCCTCCCCACTCACCACCTGCCTGGCACTATACCGTTGAGTTCCGGCGCACAGACGTGCCTGCCCAGCCGGGCCCCACTCGTTGGCAGCGGCGGGAGGAGGTGAGGGGCACCAGTGCCTTGCTGGAGAACCCTGATACAGGCTCTGTGTACGTGCTGCGTGTCCGCGGCTGCAACAAAGCCGGCTATGGCGAGTACAGTGAAGATGTCCACCTGCACACACCCCCAGCGCCCGGTGAGTGGGCAGATGGGCGGGCACAGGGTGTTCTGGGGCTCAGGCGCTAACAGCTGGGGCCAGTGCGCGAGCACTGGGCGATGCAGTGGATCACACTAAGTCTGGAGCTAGGCCTCCTTGGGCCAAATCCCAGCACTACCTCTTGCCAACTGTGTGGCTTTGGGCAAGTTATTCGGCCTCTCTGAACTTCAAGTTCCTCTTCTGTAGAGGTATTTACAATACCTCATCGGGTTGTTGTGAAAATGAATTACTTGATACACGTAAAGTCTTAGCAGAGTTTGTACCTCCAGTAAGGGCTCAATAAATGACAGTAAAGTGACTCCAGAAAATAGTGTGGACCCCAGGATGTAGGCATAATAAAGGAGCATCGCCACCCACACAGCGGGCAGAAGCGGCATGGGTTGGATAGAAGGGCCAGACATGACCAGCAGAGTGTGGGCTGGAAGGCAGAGTCAGATGATAGTGGGCAGAATGTCACCACGTAGAATGGAACAGGGGGTTGTATGTGGGGCCAGCCATGGGAAAGGAAGCATTGGGAGTCACTTGGGCCTGGAGAACTGGTTTCTGTGTCCACTTGTCATCACTGCAGCTCTTCCTGGGGTCCCAGATCCATTTGGAGTACTCGCTTCTTTTTTTCCTTATTCCCCTTATTCCAGTTCTCTGGGCTCTGTTCCCAAAGCTTCCTGCCTATCCTGTAGCAACTTGTTCCATGTTCTGAAATCTGCCAGTGTCTTGCGCTGGAGCCTCACAGTCCCCAATGCCAGTGTTTGTCCCTGAAGTCCTTCCTTTTGCCTCAACCCTCCCCTACTCCAGTCCTTCACTTCTTCCTCGACGGCCGCTGGGGCACAAGCCGGGAGAGGCTGGCCATCAGCAAGGACCAGCGAGCGGTACGGAGTGTTCCAGGGCTGCCTCTGCTCTTGGCTGCTGAGCGACTGCTCACTGGCTGCCACCTGAGTGTGGATGTGGTCCTGGGTGATGTAGCCGTGACGCAGGGCCGCAGCTACTGGGCCTGCGCCGTCGACCCAGCCTCCTACTTGGTCAAGGTGGGCGTCGGACTGGAGAGCAAGCTGCAGGAAAGCTTCCAGGGCGCCTCGGATGTGATCAGCCCCAGGTTAGGCCACTCTGGCAGGGATGGAGCGTGGGGACCCTGTGTGGGGGAGCCGGGAACAGGGTAGGGGTGGCAAGGGGGGACAGACTTGCTGAGGTGGAGCTGGGAGGAGACTAGGAGGAAGCAGTAGGACACTGGAAGCCAGGCCAAGGGGCCTGTAGCCAGAGAAAATGTGGGATCAGTGGAAGGCTTTGAGGATTGAATTTTGGAGTATGTGGCTGGGGACAAAGATGATAGAAGAGGGAACCTTCTCCATTTCCATCTGTCACTCAGGACTAATACACCATCTCTCCAAGCCGCCATGTCTAATACCCCATTTCCAACATCCTTTCCCTACAAAATGTTTTCTTTCCCATACCTTTTTCAACCCTATTATAACACCCTAAAATTCTTTCCTTAAACTTTCCATCTCCACGCCCTCTTATCCCTGACATCCTGCTTAACACCCTCCCACGCATGCATTTCTTCCTGAACCCTTAATCCCTCGCTCTCTATCCCCCAAGACTCCTTCTCTTCAAAGTGCTTTCTGTCCCCAATCCCACATCTTTCTGACATCTCTCCTCTGTGACACCGACCCGCCCTCACCTCTCTCCCACCACTTCCCTTCCCAGCACCCTTTCTCTGCTCTTCTCCTCGCCCAGCACCTTAGTCACTAGCCCCGCGTTCTCCCAGCACCCTCTCACCCTCGGAACCCTCTCCCAGCATGTTCCCAAACCGTATTTCCCACCACCCTCCTACCTCGACAAGCTGCATTTCTTCAGTGTGCTTTACCAACACCTCGTCTTTCTCTTGCCCCAATACCTCTCTTGCCAGTGTGATTTCCTTTCAATACCCCTTTCCTGCCAAACTAAACCCCCAACCCTACATTCTAATTCCTGTCTCTTCAACATGCTTTTTCCTCAATACCGCAAATCCATCATTTCAACCAGTATTCCATATTTCCAACATTGCAGCCTTCTGGTACACCACGTCCCGCTCCCTTATTCCGCCCCCCCCCCCCACACCCTCCTACGCAACATCCGCTCCTGCAGGTACGACCCAGACAGTGGACATGACAGCGGGGCCGAGGATGCCACGGTGGAGGCGTCGCCGCCCTTTGCTTTCCTCACCATCGGCATGGGCAAGATCCTCCTGGGATCCGGGGCCAGCTCAAACGCAGGGCTGACAGGGAGGGATGGCCCGGCAGCCGGCTGCACGGTGCCTCTGCCACCCCGCCTGGGCATCTGCCTGGACTACGAGCAGGGTCGGGTTTCCTTCCTGGATGCCGTGTCCTTCCGTGGGCTTCTGGAGTGCCCCCTGGACTGCTCGGGGCCGGTGTGCCCTGCCTTCTGCTTCATTGGCGGTGGAGCTGTGCAGCTACAGGAGCCCGTGGGCACTAAGCCCGAGAGGAAGGTCACCATCGGGGGCTTCGCCAAGCTGGACTGACCATCTCACACCCTTCCTGGGCCCTGGCCCTCCAAGCTTTCTGGAACTGGGTTATTCCTCCGGCAGCTTTTCCCTCTAACTCTTCCTACCACGGGGTCCTGTCCTTTACCCCATGTCTGTGTCTTCCCAGGACCTTCTCTTGACCAAGGGACACTCCTCTGCTCACCTCTCTGGTTGCCCCCCATTTTCTCCATTGCCTGTTAATCCAGACCCGCATCCCACCAAGTTTCTGCTCCGCGCTCTGCCCTTGGCATCTTATCCAAGTCACGGAGAGAACCCCTGCCCCTGCCCCGCCCCGTGTACCCCCTCAGGCCAGCTGGGAGGGAAGGTTCCCGGAACACTGGGCATGATCCCCGGCTCTGCCCTCTGCCCTGCCAAGCTCCCTGCCCCGCGGGTGCTGAACTATAGCCTCAGAGCGGGCAGGCCCTCTGGTTGGACACCGCCCGTGCGCTACCTGGGGAGGGGAAAAGGACCCTATCCTTTGTTTCTGTGGGTCCCCACACCCTTCAGCCGCATGCCTCTGATGTCCCTCTTCTCCCTCTTGCATGCTTTACTTGTCCCGCACCCATGCCAACGTGCCAAGTCTTCTTTTGGGGCCCCAGTGGAGGTTGGATGTCCCCACTGGGTTGGGCCAGGCAGGACCTCTGGTGCCCACTGCTGCCCCCCTTGCAGTAGGGACTGCTAGGTCTGTGCCAAGCAACAGCTGTCATTTTCACGGTTTATAAACAATAAACTGTGGTGCCAGGCACATCTCTGCCTTCCCTGAGCCATACCACTCCTCTTGGTTTCTGTGCGGGGTGTGGCTGCCCGGAGGGACCCAGGGTCTCCGCTGTTCCTCAGAGCAGGGCTGCCTGGTGCATAAGGCACCTGAGGGAAGGAGGTGCCCAAGCTAGGTGCTTCCTGGCCTCCTGCTCACAGACTTACCAGCCCAGTCCTGGCCACCAGGGGGTGCACTGCTCTGGTGACCTCCTGACTCAGTCCCCCGATGAGGCGTCTGGGCCGTGGCTCCCAGACCCTGAAGGAATGTCATTGACGGGGCAGGCACTGTGCCTGGGCCCAAAGGAGCAGGGAACCAGAACCACTTTCCCATTCCCAGGATGTGGGGAGCAGACCCCAGAGCCAGTGGGCAGATGGGGCGGCCCATGCTGGGGAGGGGACCAGGCTCGGCGCCAGCCCCGGATCTAACGCTTATCGTGAATGGCCATGTTGACTCTGAGGCTGTTATCGCTGCCTAAGGACTCTCTTCACACCCAGGCAGCTCAGAATAGAACCACCTGAGGGCATTGTGCCAAGCAGAGGAAGGTGTGGCTGTCAGCCCCGAGCTGGGGTGAAACCAGGGGTGAGCCACAGGCACGCAGGCCTGAGCCCAGCCACCTAAGTTTCGTTTCCTATTTCCTCTTGTGCCGCCAGCAATGGGGGAGAGGTGACTCAAATTCTTCTGCCAGCCACTCCAGCGCCCCAATGTCATCTCTCCATGCTCTCCTGCTGCTCAAATGAACCCTGCCCCATGCCTTCTTTTCTCCCTGTCTTCTCCCCCAAAGGCCCCTTCCAGAACGCCCCCCACACACACACATACATTCCCACCACTCCTCCTATCTAAGGGTCACAGATGACAGATCAGAAGTTGGCAGTCAGAGCAGAGGAGGCCCACATTTTATTCAGCCGTATAAGGTTCCCAGTCCCATCTGGGGGCTTTCTAGGTCAGTGCTGGAAGCCACTGCCCCAGGCCGGTCCTCAGGAGTACTAACGGGCTTCACCAGGGCTAAGATGGGTTGGGGGACTTGGTGGGGCCTGCGAGGGAGGCTGTGAGTAGCCCACTTGAACTCGCTGCTCACCAGTTGAGAAGCGGGGAGGGAGGACACTGGCAGTGAAGACCATGAGGGAGGCAACTGGCGGGCGCTGGCTGGACCCTCAGCAGGCAGCGTGCCCCTACAAGTTGGCAGAAGTGGCTGCTGTGTTCACGTAAGAGAGGCTGCCGCCGCCGTTGCCTGCAGAAACCTGGACGAGGGGAGAAGGAATCCAGGCTGAGGGGCAGGAGCTTTCCTGCGAGAAACCGCCAGGGCCCTCGGATGGCAGGCACCCCCGGCTGGAGTAATAGGGCCAGGAGCCTAGCTCTCGAAGGGTTAACGCGATGAGAGCACCTGCCAGTCGGTCACCACCACTGGCAGCCAGGTGACTGTAAACAGGGCCACCCTCCTCCCTCTGCTCCCCTCTCCTCCCTCCCCTTGGTTCCAGGCAGCCCCCTTCCTCTCCCCTGCTGCCCTGTCTCCCTCCAGTCCCTACTCTTCCAGCCCCAGAAGGTGTGCATGCTCAGCTCATCCGTGTAAAACTGGGAGAAGTCCCAGAAAAGGGAAAATGGGGTCAAGAAAAGGAAAGCACCCCTCCCCCACCTGGAGTTCCAGCTCCAGGTGACCAAAGTAATTATTTACTAGGTCCTGCAGAGAAAGGCCAGGAGAGGAAAGAGACTCCTGAGAACCCCACCCGGGCTCACCCGGCTTGGTGAGATCTCTTTCCCCCGTCGGAGAGCCTCTGCCTGCCCCCCACCTGCCGTCCTCAATCTACCCTCCACTCTTAGGTGCTTACTCCTTGTGGGTCCTGCAGGAAGGGATCCCCTGGGGCACACTGCCCGCCCATCCCACCTCTGGGCATCCCAGCCGTGGCAGGGGCACCGGCTCAGCTGAACAGTGAATGCTCTTCTAGAAATGTTAGTAGTGGGGACACTCCCTTTTGAGGTCGCCTTTTGTCCTTGGCCTCCTCCCAAGGCCTTTCCCCCAGAGCTGTTCTGACCCCCACTCCCATCCTTGCCAGGCCGTCCGCTGCTTGCTTACTTCATGTCACCTCTCACCTCTTAAGTTCTTTGGGTTTTCCAAGTGCCCTTTCAGAGCCCCCTCCCAGCCAAAGCCTCTGTCTTTCTCCACCCGTGGGGCCCATCATCACCTCTTCATAGGGACTCCTCTTGGTACTGCCAGGGGGCACATAGCGCCCGTGAGTGTGGTAGGTAGGGTACTCGCTCATAGGATGGTAGGCATCTCGGGTTGGAAAGATGTCCAGCTGCCCGCAGTTCTTTCGGCGGCACTGACACACAGCCTGGGGAGACAGGAGGTTACGGGGGGCCGTGGAGTGCCTTCTAGCAGGGGGACTCTGGTTAGGGCTGAAGACTGAGCACTTACCAGGGCAATGAGATAGATGATGGCCAGCGCAACCAGTACACAGACAAGCACGAGCAGGGCTATGCCCCAGCCTGGCACCCCAGACCCCAACTGGGCAGAGGGAGGAAATAACACAACGTCCACTAAAAGGAAAAGCAGTGATCAGGGCAGTCTGGCAAAGGAGGCGACCCTCCCCTAGGAGCACCCAGGAGGAGAGCAGGAGTCCAGAGGCTGGAGGGAGAGGGCCCTGAAAGTGTGGCGTGGGCCCAGAGCAAGGGAGAAAGCCTCACCAGTAATTCTGGAGATGTTCAGGTTGTATCTGGCTGCTTCTGCTGCATGACGAGCAAACTGTTCCTTTACGTCGTCACTGGTAGTGCCCTCTCGGAAGGCCAGAATGGATTCCGCCACCACAGATCCTGGCCTGCTCACAGGGAAACAGGCCACTCAGCTGCAGGCCTCAGCTTCTGAGCTCTTCCCCCCAACCACAAGCCTCCCAGTCCCTCCCCGCAGTCATGGCACCGTCTACCCGCTCAGACAGTCCACACCCAGAACTGTACCTGAACTTTACATTAGAGGAGCCCAGAAAATTCTCACGTTTATAAATCTGCAAAAACTGAGGTGAGACGGAAAGCACTAAGAATTGGTGCACAGGTTCAAGCAGTTCAGAGGCTGCTGCAAGGGAGAACATGGAGGAAGGGCAGATACTCACCAATTCAGTAATGTTCCTCTGCAGCTCCTGGTAGTAGTTAGTGCTGGGGTCTTCCAGGGAAGAGTTAAATGGGAGGTTCAAAATATGAAAGGACAGGAGGAAGAAGGAAACCTTTTGACTGGGGGAGGTGAGGGGTACTATGCTACCATTAGTGCTGCCTGCAGTAGTCCTGGTTCTGTGGCTGGCAGGGGTAGTACGGGTATCAGAGTGGTGGCTGGGAACTGAGGATGGAGAAGAGGTGACACTGCGGACTGGAGTGGCGGCTGGGCTTGAGGCAGGGCTTGTGACTAGGGAAGAGGTGGCCCTGTGGACTGGAGTGGTGGCCGGGCTTGAGTCAGGTCTGGTGGCCGGGGACACCGTGGCATTGTGGCCTGGAGTGGTGGCCAAGCTTGAGGCAGGGCTTCTGACTGGAGAAGAGGTGGCACCATGGCCTGGAGGGGTGGCCGGGCTTGAGGCAGGGCTCGTGACTAGGGAAGAGGTGGCCCCGTGGACTGGAATGGTGGCCGGGCTTGAGTCAGGTCTGGTGGCTGGGGACACAGTGGCATTGTGGCCTGTAGTGGTGGCTGGGCTTGAGGCAGGGCTCATGACTAGGGAAGAGGTGGCACCGTGGACTTGAGTGGTGGCCGGGCTTGAGGCAGGGCTTGTGACTAGGGAAGAGGTGGCACCGTGAACTGGAATGGTGGCCAGGCTTGAGTCAGGTCTGGTGGCTGGGGACACAGTGGCATTGTGGCCTGGAGTGGTGGTCGGGCTTGAGGCAGGGCTGGTGGCTGCGGACACGGTGGCATCATGGCCTGAAGTGGCGGCCAGGCTTGAGGCAGGGCTTGTGACTAGAGAAGAGCTGGTACCGTGTCCTGGAGTGGCGGCCGGGCTTGAGGCAGGGCTGGTGGCCGGGGACGAGGTGGCACCGTGGCCTGGAGTGGCAGCCGGGCTTGAGGCAGGGCTTGTGACTAGAGAAGAGCTGGTACCGTGTCCTGGAGTGGCGGCCGGGCTTGAGGCAGGGCTGGTGGCCGGGGACGAGGTGGCACCGTGGCCTGGAGTGGCGGCCAGGCTTGAGGCAGGGCTGGTGGCCGGGGACGAGGTGGCACCGTGGCCTGGAGTGGCGGCCGGGCTTGAGGCAGGGCTGGTGGCCGGGGACGAGGTGGCACCGTGGCCTGGAGTGGCGGCCGGGCTTGAGGCAGGGCTGGTGGCCGGGGACGAGGTGGCACCGTGGCCTGGAGTGGCGGCCGGGCTTGAGGCAGGGCTGGTGGCCGGGGACGAGGTGGCACCGTGGCCTGGAGTGGCGGCCGGGCTTGAGGCAGGGCTGGTGGCCGGGGACGAGGTGGCACCGTGGCCTGGAGTGGCGGCCGGGCTTGAGGCAGGGCTGGTGGCTGGGGACGAGGTGGCACCGTGGCCTGGAGTGGCGGCCGGGCTTGAGGCAGGGCTGGTCAACTGGGAAGTGTTGGAACTGGAACCATGGACTGTAAGAAGTTGAGGATTAGATTCGGGGATAAATCAGAACAAGGAGAAAATATATCCTCTAGCATTTGGAGAAGTAATGCCAGAAGGATTTGGGGAACAAACCCCTGAGTCTGCCCTTCTCCTCCTTCCCAGCTGGCAGCCTCCCTCTCTTCCTGCGCCCCTAAGCTCCTGACTGGCCATTCTCCACTCCTAAGATTTACGTCTCCCGTACCCCTACCCCCACCCTGGACTTCTCTTCAGGGAATTTGCCTGCCCCTGGCACCCACTTTCCTGAGGAGGGCCTCGTCTCTTCTTAACCTGTCCTTAGCCTTTCTCCTTTTATTCTAACACAGACTAGGCAGCCCGTCTGCACATTCTTCCTCTTTGGGTGCCGTCTGCCAGGAAACAAAACCCACGGAAAGGCTGTGCAGAGCAGCCCCCTCCCCACCTGTGCCCCTCACCTTTAAGCAGTGTGAATAGCAGCAGCACAAGGAAGAAGGGGGTCTGGATGCCTGGAGTCATGGTGGTGGTGAACCGGTTGGGGAGGGGGCAGAACAGACTCAGGCAGGCACTGCGTGTGAGGTGGAGCAAGCACAGGCACCTGCTGCTTTATACTGGTCCCTCGCCCGCCCTAGGCTCAGCCAGAGCAGGTGACAGGTGACAAAACCCCGCCCCTTCCCCCAATCCCTACCTCCTATCTTTTCCTCCTCCTCCCTAACCATTCCTGTCCCCTCAGGTAGGGCACATGGGCTCCAATCACTCAACCCTCTGACAACCTGTTTGTGCACCAGTTGGCCTCCCCCTTTCACCAGCCACTCCCTGGCTCCAGAAGGCGGTGTGTATGGGGAAAAGTGGGGGAGTATAGGGTCCCCAGGGCTTTAGTTTTAGCCCCAGGGCTACAGCCAAGGTGAGAAAAATGGGTAAATTAAGGCTGGGAAGTTCATATCAGTCCCCCACCACACTTCCCCCTGGGCCCCTTGAAGGCCCACTCTGGGGACGGAGAAGAAATGAGAAGTCTTGCTCTGACCTGCACGGTTCAGTGGGATGGGCGTTGTCCCACAAAGGGGAAGGTCGTGGTCAGGGCACATGCCTCTGTTGTCCGTCCCGCGCCCTGGCTGGGGGTGTGCAACTGACAACCCATTGACGTTCCTCTCCCACGTCAATGTTTCTCTCCCTCCCTCCTTTCTCCTAGCTCTAAAAAATAAATAAATGAAATATTTAAAAAGAAGAAAGAAAGAGGAAGCCTTGCTAAGGAGTAAACTCTGTGCTCGTTTTGGACCCCCACCCCCCACCACTTCCCGGAATAGCCCCACCTTGCTAACCGCTCCCTGTCCTGTTCTGCACATTCTACCCTGAAACCCGCAGTCCCCTCCCACCCCTTGAAGGACCTTCCAGTAGCCTGAGTTCCTTCCTGGCTTTCTCCCGAGAAAGGAGCGGAAGAAGAAATTTCCACTTAAAGGACTAGACGTGGCCTGCCGAAGCCTAGGGTCTTTCCTCCCCGGTCCTCCACCTGACGACGACGGGCAGCCCGCCAGGCTGGCCAGGCTCTCCTGCCCTCTAGTGGTCACCCGGAGGCCTCACAGCGCCTACCTTGCCGGGTTGGGAGGCTGCCGCAGTGTCGGGAAAGGAGATTGGACCGCACTGCCTAAGAAGCAATTGAGAGCGGCTAGGGAGGGCAGCAACGCCAGCGAGAAAAATCGGTGGCTTGGACAGAGAAGGGGAGGAACGCACTGTACCATCGATGGAGAGGCTGGGAACTTATGGAGGGGACTCTGGGGTGCGTGGGGGCGGTGTCTGGAGGAAATGGCGCTACGTGGGTGGGGTCCTGAGGTACGTGGAAGGGTCGGTGATGTAGCCGAGCACATAGGAATGTGGGAGGCGGTGGGGCAGCTTATGTAGGAGTGAGAGAGTTGGTAGGGCGACGGAATGGTATTGGAGGGTACTGAACTATCTTTTGGCGATCACAGTGGTATTTGGGGCAGGTAAGCATAGTAGTGGTGGGGGCAAAACTATATGAGGGTGGGTAATTTTTGTAAAGGTTTATTTTATTCTCATTCGAGAGAGGAGGGAAGGGAGAGAGAAAAACATCTACATTAGAAACACCGACCGGCCACCTCCTCGCGCTCCAAATGGGGCTAGAGCCCGCAACTCAGGCATAAGCTCTCACCGGGAATCGAACTGGTGTCCCTTGGGTTACGGGAGGACGCTCCAACCGAGCCACGCCAGCCAGAGCGCGGGTGTGAAACTTTGGAGAACCGAGAGATATTTTGAAAGGCGGAAATATTTGGGGCCAGCGAGGTATATGGGATCACAGCGGCACGTGGAGCTTAGGGCCTCATTCGGAGGTCCTGGGTGGTCTCGGCCGACAGACAGTTACATCCGATTTATGAAAACAATTCCTAACCCCAACGAATACAGATTGAAGGCTGAACTTTAAAAACAGTTCGATGAAGCGGAAAGCCAGGGACCATTGCTCCGCCGGCGCGCAGCTCCACCTTGTTGGCGCGGCTTTGTGCGGCGCCGGGCCGGCGCCGGGCAGAGGGCGTGACGTCAGCTCGCGGGCTGGAGAGGCCGGGAAGCCCTAGACCCGCGGGCTAAAGAACCGGCGAGTAACTAGGTGGGCGGTCTCGAAACTTCAATCCCCGCCGTTGCCAGGCAACAGCCATTTCGTTGTTGCTAGGATATGCATTACCATGGTAACGGCTCCGCGCCACGCAGTGGGAGTATTTAAAGAGCAAGCGCGCGCAGCTGGGGCGTCAGAAAGTGGCCTTCCGGGATAGGACTGTCGCCCCTTCTGCTCTCCCCCCCCCCTCCGTACCATCCCCTTCACCCTCCATACGCCAAGTCGCTCTAGCTTCCCAGGTGAACTCAGCTCCCCAGCGCGCCCCGGGTCTTTGGGCTAGTCTCGCTTCAAGCGGTTGGGAGCGGGATCCCGGGCTCCGGGCGGGCGGGAGGGACGGGACGCGGTGCAGTGTTGTTCTTTTCCCCGCCAATATTGCACTCGTCCCGGCCTCCGGCCCCCCCGGCCCCCCGACGCCCCCTCACCACGAGCGGGGCAGACCCAGCCGTCCTGACTTTCGATCCCTGCTGATTTTAGACTGGAGTGTCGCCGCTGCCATCGTGAGTAAGTGGGGCTGGGAGGACTTTAACCATCCTCCGACCAGTCCCCTCATCCTTCACCTAACCCCCCATCCTTCACCTAACCCTCATCCAGCACCTTCCCCACTGTGCCCCAAACTCAGCCAAACTTCCTCTAGACCTCTCAATTCCATCCTACTAGCCCTCTCCCTTACCCCTCAGGTTCCTTCCTGCTCCCACACTACCCCCAGAAAATCCCTAAAATAAACAACTGCACTAGCTTAGAAAACAACTGGAACTTTATGGCAATGTGTTATCTTTCCTGGGGTTGGCGCCTGAGAAATACCCCTTGAAAACTTCCCATCTCCTCAACAGTCACCACCCCGCTGGGGCTGAACTCCTGATTGGTACCAGGAGAGGGTATGTGTTTGGCTGAGGGGCTGTAGATGAGACCGGGGCGGGGGGACCCCTGGGATGGACCCCAAGGTCAGAGGATCTAAAGTCAGGATTTTGAATCTGGTAGCCACCTCTTCACACTCTTCCCTGGAGCAGCTGCCGCCTGAATGGCTCAAAGTCCTCGGGAACTGTGTCTGAGGAAGGAGAAGAGACTAAAGTCAAAGATGTGGCTCTTATATGAGGGCACGAGAGGTCAGGCTGATCTGGGTATAGAGCCTCACCATTGCATCGGTACTGGAGATTGGACCAAATGATGTTTTCTTGGGAGAAGCAGAACACACCAAGACGCCCCCCTCGCATGGATGTGTCAATGATCACCCCAGAATCCGCCACTAGCTGAGGACCCTCATAGAGCTTCACTCTGTCCAGGATAGGGGTTTCCATTGGTGCTAGGGTACCGATGGGCACTGTGCCACTGGGCCGGGGCCCTGGTCATCCCCAACCCCCCTCAGCTCACCAGGCCTGAGAGAAGGAAGGAAGGAAAGGGGATGGAAGGGGGTGCTTTTCTCAGGCCTGGGGCCCCAGGCTCTTTGTCCATCCCCCTTTGCATCTCAAAGCACCACAAAGCACCAGCCGCATTCCAAGCGAGGATTGGGTTGCCATGACGATGAGCACAATGGACTGGGGGGTGAAGTCACCCGCTTCCCAGGCTCTAGTCCACCACCCCTTATATTCTGCCCTGGCACCCCACAGCCCAGGCACCTTAAAGAAGAACCAACCCAAGTGCCTGGACTCTGGGCTCTTGGCCATTTCCCTTCCCTTCCTTGTCATCCCCACCAGCTAGGAAATGCAGAGTTGTGGACAAGATGCTGAACTGAGAGGCCTCAGCTCAGCTGCAAAGAGCTGTGAAGTCTGGGGCTTGGTATGCACTTCAGTAAATAATGGTCCCTTCCAGGTGAGACACCTTGAGGAGGCAGGTTCTGGGCTGTACCAGTGAAGGGGCTGGATGTGATGTGCCTCTCCGCAGACTGGCCTGGGCTTTGGAGGTTCCCAGGGGTGCCCTTATCTTACAGAGGAGAAAATGGAACACAGAAAAGGAAATGCCTGCCCAACAGTGCCTTATGTGTGTTCCGCACCAGAGCCCAGGCCACCTTCTCTGCAATGAGAGAGGACTTGGAGAGGAGTGGTCCCAGGCCGGGCCCATGGCACCGAGGCACTGAGCAGAGGGATCACTGGTGAGCCCCAACTAAAGGGGAAGGGAAGGCCGGGCCTAGAATCCCTCAGGAGGGCTCAAACCCTCCCCTCACCGAATGTAGCCAACTTGAGGCCGGTGCAGCAGCTGCCATCGGTAGGAGGTCTTGTCACGCCAGCCCACATTTCGTGGGTCAGTCCACAGCAGTCGTACCTGATCAGGGGTGTGGCCAGTATGCCACAGGGCATTCCGGAGGTGCTCACCTGGGCCAGACACTGATGTCACTGCCTGGGGGGCATTGGCAAAGACAGTGGGTCAACCACAGGACCCGAATGAGAGGAGACAACAAGTTGGTAAGTACAGGTGGGAAAGGAAGTCAAGGTGGTCAGGAGAATGTTCTAGAGCCCCAGGGAGCCAACCTCTAGGACCAATGTCTGAGTAAGAGGGCTCCCACTCAGATAGGGGGAGAGGTTTTGGGAAAGGGTCCCAGATTGGGGAATCTGGGCAGCTGCAAGACCTTGAGCTGCAGCCCGGGCTGGGCAACAGCCCGGAAAGGTGTGGCCTGCCAGTAGGTCTGCTCCGTCTGCTTCCACATGACCACATAGAAGCGGCCACTGTCCTGGTAGCTGAAGAGGAAGCCTGCGTAGTCATCATCAGTCACTGTGTTCACATGGAAGGTGCCTTCAAAGTCCACACCATTGAAGGCTGTATATCCTAGGGGAAAAGGGGTGGACGGAATCAAGGTCCGGGGCAACAAAGCTACTTGTGGCCCGTTGTGCAGTGGGGGTGGGAAGGGATGCTTGCTGTACGTGTGGCCAGCTTGCCCCCCACACTCTGCCCCTGTCTGATTGCTCTGTTTGGAAATTATTGAACTGGGTATCCCCTACATACCAACTGCCAGGCCGGGGTCAC